AACTAGTGACTAAAATAAACAGATTTACAAATCTTAGAGTCAAATTCGAACATCAGCCAAAATATACAACATACAAAAACAGTGACTAAAATGAAACTAATACAAACATTGTGGCCAAAGTAAAATATGAGTATAATAATATAACATGTAATAATAGGACTAAAATAATAAAAATAGACATTTGAAGGTCTAAACAGTAATAAACAAAAACAAGAAGGCTGAATCATAAATAATCAAAATGTAAATTAGTGACTAAAGTGATTGATTTACAAATATTGCTTCCAAATTCGAACATAAAAACATAACACAGGATCAGTGACTAAAATGTAAGAAACATAAATATCATGGCCACTCGAATAGCAGGGAAAATATTCATAACATTAAATCAGTGATAAAAATAGAATAATTAAAAATATGGTGACCAATATCAAACAAAAACAAATATGGTAAAATAAACGAACTAGGGACTTAAATATAAACTCTGAAATGTAAGTGCTCAAAATCAAAGGAATGGAACTTCATTAAATGCCTCAATATAGGATTACAAAACCCAGGGGACTAAAAGTGTAGTTATCCCGTAACTCGAAAACTCAGATGATATTGGGGGCAAAACGACTGCGTTTTGCTCGGCATACCCCCAAAACCGAGCTCATCTCTCATAATCCCTCATTTCTCTCATTCTTCAGCAAACAGAGAGAGAGAGAAACTGAAACTCTCTCAATTCTCTCAAATGAAGAGAGAACGACCATGGTGGCCGGAGGCTCCCACGGCGGGGCCGACGGCGGCGCACGGTGGCCGGAGAAGGCCAATCGACGCCCAAAATGTCCTCTCTTCACGCTCAACCCAAAAAACAACACCCTTGACCCTAAAACCAACCCTAAACCAATAGATCTAAGTAGATACCTTTGAACGAAATGAAAAAAAACGACGACCTTTCGGCTTCCCAAGGAGCTCCGAAAGCAGGTATGACCCTCTCCTCTCTTCTTCCTTTTGTTTTTTTTTTCGGTATCACTGTTTTTTTTTGCTTCACTTCGAATATCCTCCTTTTTTCTTTGTTCTCTCTGTCTTCTTTATATTTTCTTTTTGGTTTTTGAAAACTCCCTCTCTCCTTTCTTTCTTTGAACCCCGAATGGTCCCCCCTCCTCCCTGTCTTCCTCCCTGTCTTCTCTCTTTTTTTTTTGATTTTATGTTAGCTTCCATGATTTGTGATGATTGACTTTGCTGCCCGAGACACTAGGGTCGAAGAGGCTAGATGTACCATAGGATATCATTTGGATTTTCTTTTGATTTTTTTCCTTTATTTTTCTCTGATTGCTCTGACTGATTTGGTATTTGATGGCCTTGTTGTCACTGTGGATGATAGATTAACTCGATGAGAGGTTCGACGGTGGCTTGAGGCTCGGTGATATTCGGCTTGAACGGCTACTGGAATGTTGAAGAGGCACGACGGCTGGATTTGCTTAGGGTTGTGAAACCCTATTTACCATCGATCTGGACCGTTGAATGTCCAGATTGAATGGTCTATGTTGGTGCGGCGCTGGGATGTTGATACCCTAAGGTTAGGGTTTAATTGGGTTGGTATAGGTTGTGCATTGGGTTAGGGTCTGTAACCGGGCTGCTGAGTGATGAGTATGGGCTCGGGTCAATTGGGCTTCGTTTGTTGGGCATGGGTTGGCCTGCAAAACAGTGTAATAATAAATAATAATAAAATAATAAGATGACGATAATAATAATAATAATAATAATAAAATAACGAAAAAACCCGGACAAAAACGGGTGTCTACAAGACTAAAGCAGATAATCCAAGATTCAGAGGAAGGAATCGCCGGCGAACCGGAGAGTTCTCTCGAGACATCAGAAATTCAAGCAGGCAAGACGGAAGAGAACTTGAATGATCGGGCGTCGGAATAGTTTAATGGATCAATCACCATTTCTTAAGCTCGGGCGCTGGCATTGGTGGCTATTGGGTTCTATCAACATTTTGTTCCTTATTGTAGGCCAAGCTTCTGCTGTTCTTCTGGGGAGATTTTATTATGATCAAGGTGGGAATAGTGAATGGATGGCAACTTTTGTGCAAACTGCTGGATTTCCAATCCTTTTCATCCCTTTGTTTCTTCTTCATCCGTCTCGGAAACTGGAGACTTCGACTTCTTCATCAATCTCGCCTTCCATCAAAGTTGTTGCTTTGCTCTATTTTGCTCTTGGATTAGTTGCAGCCGGTGACAATATGTTGTACTCTGTTGGGCTGTTGTATCTCTCGTCTTCTAATTATTCCCTCATTTGTGCTACTCAGCTTTCAATGCCGTTTTTTCGTACTTTCTTAATTCGGAGAAGATGACTGCTTTAATTCTCAATTCTGTGGTTATCCTCTCATTGTATGCTGCTCTGATTGCGGTTAACGATGATTCGCAAGTGATGTCAGGAGTTTCCAAGGGGAAGTATCTCCTAGGCTTCGTATGCACCCTCGAGCTTCTGCTCTTTACTCCCTTTCACTCTCTCTTATGCAACTCTCGTTTCAGAAGGTGTTGAAAAGGGAAAAAGTGTGGTTTTTGAAATGCAGATTTATACATCACTCATGGCGACTTGTTTCGATCGCCAGTATGTTTGCGAGTGGGGAATGGAAGGGTCAACAGCGGAAGAGTTTCATACGTGCTGACACTGGTTTGGACCGCCGTAAGTTGGCAGGTATGTGCTGTTGGGGTGGTGGGGTTGATTTTCGCGGTGTCGTTGCTCTTCTCCAACGTGATAAGTACTCTGTCGTTGGCGATTACACCTTTAGTTTCTCTGGTAGTTTTTCATGACAAGATGAATGGGGTGAAGGTAATTGATATGCTAATTGCACTGTGGTTTTTGCTCTTATATTTACCAAAATTATCTAGATGATGCAGAGGCAAGGAAAATGGGATCACAATCACACACTGATGATACTGAAGAAAGCCATCATGCATTCATCTGGCTGTCATGGAACATGAATTTGATAGTCCTTTTTTGACAATTTCATTTTTTTATGAGAAATGAGAAAGAAAATACTGTAAATGTTACAAGTGAAGTCAGTCTACGTTTCCTCCTTCAATCCTAAACACATTTATTGTATATTTATTTATCTATCAGTCTATTGTACAGCGTAGCTTTAATTTATGGTAGATAACTAGGAACTTAACTAATTATTGAATAAGCAGAGCACATGAGCGACTCACCTGAACCTGCTCTCAGCAATGAAGCAACAAAATCTTGTGTGCCGGTAGATGGTTTTGGTGTGGTCATCAAAGTTAGTGGTGGATTAAGGGGGAGTCTCAAAATTTAAAATGATCATATATTTTTAATTTTTTTATATTTTTTTATTGAAAATTTATTTTCGTCTATGAAATTTTATAAGTTTATGTTCGTATCCTCTAAATATAAGTTCAGCCGTTAACATAAAATCTAGCATCCGTCTTTGATTAAAGTATTCTAATATTGTTTAGGTGCTAAATTTTGTAAAGGATAATACAATATTTTGGACATCGATGAATTTAGAAATATTTTTTAGAATGAATAGATATATTTTAGCAACATTAAATTTTTGTATGGAGTAAATCAAATAAAATTTTAAAATAAACGTAGTTAATAAAATAAATAAATACTTAAAAAATCAAATTATTTATATATATAGTCCATTTTATTTTATTTATATTTGTGGTTTATAAATGTGCATATTTTTTAGACATAGTATAAATTTATTTTTTTTATCAAAAAGTTAAAAACATTATTTATTTTTTGCCAAAGGCTTAATTAGGGATGGGCATGGCCCGGGTTTCGGTCAACCCGACCGACCTAAAAATTTTATATCCTTCACCCGACCCGATTTTTAAGATAAAATCCTGAACCCGATCCGATACAACCTGAAATAATAATAAAATATTATTTTTATTCAATACAACAGTGATTTAATTGAAAAAATAATATATAGAGGACTATTATTGTAATTATTCCTAAATATAAAAAGTAAAAATATTTTTTTCGGGTCTGGTCAGGTTGGGTATTTCTGACCCTAAACCCGAATACGACCTGACCCGAACATCACTCTTAAAATTGACCCGACCCGACTCGACTGAACCTGATTTTTTTTTTAAATTCCAACCCAATTAGGTATGGTCAAGTCGGAACCCGTCAGATTCGGATTTTATGCCCATCCCTAGACTCAACAGGAGCTTACATATAATAAAATATTGTTGTTTTCTTAAAATAATTTTCAAATATGGGACTGAGAAAACCTTATCGGAAATATGTGGCTGTAATGACCTTTAATCTTCTTTTTCTCTAAGTGATCGAGCAGATTTTTTAGTGATATTAAGACGAATTTTGAACTAAATTGCCCTTCCGCTTCATCTATAAAAAACGAAGTATCCCTCAATTGGAAAATCACGCTTTCATTTGTCTTCTCTTTTTTATATTCTCTACTTTTGTAGTAACTTTTTAGTTTTTTTTTTGTATTTTTATTTTTTATATATAAAAGTTATATGTAATTTACGTTAAAAAATGAATCTAAACAAATTAATAAATTTATAGATATAATATTGATTTAACCTTAAATAAATAAAGAGAAATAAAATGAGAGGAGATGAAAATAATAAAGGGCGGCGAAGGATAAAAAGGACGCGGAAGTACTAAATTTTATTTAACGTACTAAACTATAATTCCGTACCATCGTAGATGCAGAGGGCAACCCCATAAATTTGTAGGGTATGGTTAGGCGGGGTAGTTTGGGAGCCAACCCTAAATCACGAATAATACCGTTTTTTATCAATAAATATTGGATATAATTTAAGATATATTGTATTTCTAAGAAGATGTAAAAATATATAAAAAATCATAAACGCTAAGTATAAATAAAATACATATAAATTATTTCATTTTGTAATATAAAATCAATTAAATTCAATGGATTTTAAATAAAATTTTATTAAAATATTATGACATTAGTGGAAATAATCTTGTGTTTATGGTAATACTAACACTACGAAACATGTGTACAGCATACATTTCCCCTTTTTTTCCCCTCGCATTTTACGTGTTTTGATGGGTAGCTAAATGTCAACGGTTATACTTGACTCTGCCGAAATCAGCAATCTTCTTAGACCTATTCGCACAAAACCCCGCCGCAGTACCCAAGTGGGGCTTCATCGGCGGCCTACCTTCGTTTGTATACGTCATGTCAGGCGCCGATCCGCTCTTTTGCTTCCACTGCCGGTTCAGACTCGCCCTCACCAGCGGGCTCAAGCAAAACGCCATTCCTCGCTTGTTCGTCGCCCCTGTTCTCCCTCCTCTACCCGTCGTCGGTGTCCTCTTCCACAGTGGTGAGACCTCCGGAGAAATTTCCGGTGGTAATCGGTCACACTCGTCCCCGGGATTCAATTCTGTTGCAGGCGACATTCCTCGATCTGCGCATGGTCTCGGATAACGATGGTCGAATTGGGGGAAATGTTCTACACGAGATGTCCTGGAAGTTTGCTGATTTTTTCTACCAGTTGTAAAAATCGCCGAGAACCAAGACGAGGAAGATGACGACGACGAGGCTGGCTCATAGCACGATTCCCGATGGTTGTGAACCCTAGGATCCGAATTGAATTTCTCGGATCTCGTGCCGAACAGGCTCGAAAAGAGAGAGAACTTGCGTTTCTTCTTGAAAGCCACGGAGGCGGCATCAAAATCGGCGGTGGTCGTCGTGGTGAGGCCCACCTGAGGAGTACTGTAGAATATCTGGTGATGGATCCACGTTTCACCGTCATCGTCAGATTTCCGCCGATTAACGTAAGGAGAAACAGACCGAGGGAAACTCAAAGGCGGTGGCTCATGCTTCCGACGATCCTGGTTCACGGCAGCGGCGCGCTCTAAACGAGTTTCGGTGGCGATGACGACAAGTAGACGCTCCCGGAGACAGGTGGCGCAGACGCCTACGCCGCTACTTAAGTCGCTAAGATGCTTCTTACACCTCATGTACTCGTTGTTTCAGGGGGGGGGGGAACTTAGTTGGGTGGTGGAGGTGTAAGGTAAATATATCGGTTTATAGCCATTTGGTCTTCATTTTAGAATTAGTAATATAGAGAGAAGGTAATGCTTGAAATGAGTCCACGCTGTGCATTCATGAACTTATTATCCTAAGTTGATAGGATCCTCTTTTAAATGTGGCATAACGGTTTTCTTTATTACCAAATATACACAAAACACAAGTTTTTTTTTTTTTTTTATGTCTATGCGCACCTGCCAGCAAACCACTTATTTCTTTACTGAATATTTTAATATTTATTAAAATAAAATAAAATATTTGACAACTATTATTGATTTATTGCCTTCTTTTCTTTCTTGGTTCAAACCACATTTGCTTTATTAGATATAACAACATTAAAATGTTTTATTTATTTATTTATTTATTATTGGAGTATAACGTTAAAAACCACTTTTAAAATATAACAACATAATCTTCTATAATTTTAAATGGTTTAACCTTTAATAATTTATATTTTATTACAATAATCTCTTTCAAATAAAAATTAATAGTTCATTAATAAATAATATTTATTATTGATATGATATTTTTACAGTTATATAATAAGTAGATAGATATTTTTAAAATTGAGATATTTGTAATCTTTTTGAATTGATGTTTGTTTTGTTGACCAAGATTATGCAGATAAGATGATGGAGATTGCTTAAGCAACAGTGTTATAGAATAGAATAGTAGGAATCTATGGGCATCAATTTAGCTTTGAAAAAAGAGAACAAGAAAATAATTGAATAAAATGATTGCATACTCGTTCAAGCCACGTCATAGATGAAGTTGAAAGCTGGGTAATTGGGATCGGAGAGATTTTTTGACACACTTCAAAAATGGGTCTTAGTTTTTTAAAAGAAATTAATAATAATAAATTAAAATTTATTTTTCCAAGTCACAAAAAATAGGGAATGTCTCAGGAAAGGCGGGTTAATATACGGCTAATATACAGCATTACCGGATACATAAAATGTATTAATAAATTCGGTTTAGCGGTACCTATTATGTGACAACTAATATGTTTTAGGTAGAAAATATGAAAAACTATTAAAAAATTTGGTAACCGGTAAACTTTGGTTATCGGTAGTATCTATCCTTTTTATAAAAGTGTCCATACTTTTAACATATCAAGTAATTTTACCGGTTTTGTCATAATGAATCTGGTTTTGTCATATTTTACCTGTTATATTGTAAATTATCTATCCTTTTTATAAAAGTGTCCATACTTATTTCACTGTGAAAATATATTTATTATTATCTTTAGTTAATATTGTTAAATTTAAAATCTAAATAAGATTTATAAAATATCAAAACAATCAAATAATTTTTTGTGTAAATGAAATTATTAAATTAATATTGTAGGTGGAAAACATGAAACACTATTAAAAAAATTGAAACATAAATTACATAACTTTCAAAAAAGTATATATCATTTTATAAAAGTGTCCATACTTATTTCACTGTTGAAAACATATTTATTATTATATTTGGTTAATATTGTTAAATTTAAATTCTAAATAATATTTATAAAATATCAAACAATCAAATAAAATTTTGTGTAAATTAAATTATTAAATTAATATTGTAGGTGGAAAACATAAAACACTATTAAATAAATTGAAACATAAATTACATAACTTTAAAAGCAGTTTTAAATCCTAAAAAGTGTCGATACTTTTAAGAAATATATCGATCCAAACGATATACCAGGTAAAATTATGATAAAACCGGTAACAAATGATAAACCGGTAAAATTAAAAGTGTCGATACGTATATAAGGATCGACACTTTGTGAATTTAAAAGAGAAGCAGTTATAGCGCCTAATGTGTCGATACTTTAAAAAAATATCGATCCACACGATATAACAGGTAAAAATATGATAAAACCGGTATCAAAATGATAAAAACGGTAAAATGATACCGGATATTGAAAGTGTCGATACTTTCGTAAGTACGTGTAATAAATTATCGACACTTTCAAAGAAATAGGTAATTATCCTTTCGAAAGTATCGACACCTGACATAAAAGTATCGACACTTTTGTATTTGTATCGATTAAATATAAATAACATATCCGATGAAAATATAAGCTAAATATCCTCTGAAAATAGATAGAACGGACGAGTTTTTGAAATCGAAGAGTAATTGTTGCTGCATTTCAGAAGGCGTTTCTAAAGCGAAGTTTGTTTGTTTGTTGCTGCAGTCGAATCGAAAAGTATGTTGTCGAAACCCTAATTTTTTATTATTACAGTAATCGCGATAGGGTTTTTTATGTGTTGTTTGGGGTTTTGGAGTAAGGAAGCATTTGGGACCGATTGCAGGTAGAAATAGATATTCAGGAAAACGATAAATGTCGATACTTTTATTAAATATTATAGGTAGAAAATGATATTATAGGTTGTATAAATGTGCCGACACATTTTGGTGTGGCCATTCAATTCTTTTGAAGAAAACCGTTTACCACAAGAGTAGTTATCTATATTTGTATATTGAAAAGTGTATGTAACAAATAATTTGATTTGCGTAAACTGATATATGAAGGAAAAATGGAGTCAATGGGTTGGAAAATTGTTGGTGGAGCAGATGACTTTGAAATTGAGGCCGAGACTCGAAAGCAACCAAAGGGTGATATATGTACTTCTAGTAAGTATCAATGTCTTTTTGTTATTATTGTTGAAATGGTAATTGGATTAAAGTATCGATAAACTTTAAATTGATTACAAATTTTAAATGTTAACAGTATGGCCGAATGCAAAAGGATGAAGGGAGATGGCACACAGAGCGTTCGGTATGTAAAATGAAATTGACATTGAGTAGTATTAGTATTTAGTGTTAATGTATTGATTAAGAAACGTTTATGTTTATATTAGGTGAAAAAAGATGTGAGGTCCAAATGGAATTCAATGAGTGATGCTGAAAAGGAACCTTACATCACACAGTCAGGAATGATAGTAAAGAATACAAAGAACGGAGGAAAGCACATGAAATAAGGTATTCATTAAACTTGTAAATACGTTGATACAAAATATATAAGAACTATAACATTATATTGTTAAAAAATGTAGGAAGTTTCGACAAGATGCAGCATTAAAAGGGTGAATTTATTAATTAAACACCTTAAGGAGAAGGGTCAGTTGAATGTGCTGGGAGAAATAGGTTTTGGATCGTTGATCGGAGTAAGGGATCGACCTATTCGGAGGGAATTGTGTCGATCCTTGATGGCACAATTTGACGTCATCAATGTATGGCTAAGTATGGTGATTATTCATTCCCTCTGGGGGTATCGACTGCTGCAGCCGTATTGGGGGTACAAAACAAGGCAAAAGTGTTATAGAAGTCTGTAGGAGTAAGAACTGGAAAGCACTTGCCTCCAAATATGGTTTGAATCAAGGTGACATATACTGAAGTTGAAGAGGATATCAAAAGTGGATCTTACTTGGGGGATGAGCTGAAGGCCCGAGTTCTATTGTACCTTGTCGGTATATTCTTTGTCCAACGGGTGATACGTCAACGAACAAGGAATATATGAGCTCATTTGCGATGAAGGCTTGAAGGGTGAATTCAATTGGGCTGAATATATCCATTCGATTGATTGAATCATTATCACCTTTAAAAAGGGCAGCCAGAGATACCTCAAAGGGTGCATAGCAATCTTAGAGGTAAATGAGTTGAATCACTTTTTTGTGTTTTTATATAAAAATTCTAATTTTATTATAAATGCAGGTTGCACTGTTCGATTTTTGGTCGGGCTGTGAGGCAGTGCCGCTTATGAAAGAACCGGAGTGGCACGCATCCGTGCATGGGGGAAGGAAGAGGTGGTTAGAGTGATGGTGAAGTTGAAGTTGGATAGAGGGAAGAAGCAAGAAATGGTAATAAATGTAATTAAATAATATTAAGAATATAATCAATGTCTTAATATTGTAATTTAATTTTTTGAAGGTTATTGGCAAGGATGTAGAGGAGGCAGTGGAGGCAGAGGAGAAGAAAGGAGGGATGGTTGTATTGAGGGAAGAAGTATTGGGGATGAAGGTGAGTGGGACGACGGTGAAGCAAAACAGAGTAACTTCGACATTTTGATGTCTGAATTGGCTGATATCAAAAAAATCCAATTTGAAATCATGCAAAGACAATCAAGAGTCGAAGAGAAACTTGATCAAGTCGTAGAGAAACTCGAGAGGCATAAGGGGTAGTGGAAGGAAAAATAGATGGAGTGGTGAAGAAGTAGAGGTGTGAGGGGTGAAGTGGTGAAGAAGTTTCGGTGTTAAGGGGTGATATTAAGATGGTGACGGGAGAGAAATTTGAGGGAGTGGTGAAGGAGGTTGTTGATTTGAGGAGTGAACTTACGGGGGTGAAGGGGGTGGGTGATAAATACTCGGATGAAGGAGCTCAATTGAAGGGTGAAATAAAGATATGAAGAGCTATGTAGAAAAAAAGTACGATGAACTGAAAAAATATGAAGAAGAAAAGAGGGAGGAGGAAGAAGAAGAGATGGAAGAAATGAGGAGGAAGGAGAGGCCCAATGTAGCATAACCTACTTGACGTTGAACGTAGAGCAGCGAACCTTGCCATTTGCATCACTTCTGGAGACACATTCAAATCAACATAGCTGGGTGCAGAAGCCTTCGCATCATTAGTCCACCTACTTTGAATCAAAGTCCCGGGCAAATATGTGTAGTCCAATTGCTTCAAAATGTGAAGTTGATGGCGACACGGAAGTCCAACGGTCTCGAATTTTTTGCAGGAGCAAATTGAGTTTTCGTACGAGAATCAAAACTAATTTCAAATTTCCTATTTTTTTCTGCGTACTTTGACAAAATATAATGTTGACATTCATCTGATAAGGACTTAATCTCTGCCTCAATCCGGTACAATGTCTCCCGTGTAAGTTCATCTTGGAACACACGAAAAGATTCGCGGGTAAAAATCGCAGCGGCATGGCTTTCAAGGTCGACCAGTTTTGTGATCTGGAAGGGCTTCGTATGGGAACTTAAGTAATCCGCTTTCAACTCGTTCATACGCATTCTACTAATTCCATCTTCAATTGCACGAACAACATCTAAATATGTCTTCTTGTGTTCAGTGCAATAGCTAGTGAAGCATTCATAGACTCGCACCTTTGTGTTGAGCGAATATTGGCAAAGAAATGACCGTTAGATATGCTTGTGCCCATAAGTGTCGTGTATTTCCCTTCTCAATCACCCATGGATGCTTTTGGACGTTGAATTCTGAAACAATCGAACGCCATTGAATATCAAATTCCTTGGTTGTCCACCAGGAAGCCATGCATTTTGAGAATGCTGCTGTAAACTTTGGGTCACCAATGTTAGCTTGTGCATTGCGAGAAAGATGCCAAGAACATAATCTGTGCTTAGCATAAGGGATAACAGATTTGATAGCCCTCTGCATTGCCCTATCCCCATCGGTTACAACAGAAATAGGTGATTTATTCATCATGGCTTCTAAAAAATTCTGTAGCACCCACTCGAAAGATTGACGTTTCGTCAGCGATTATGGCAGTGGCAAACACAATTGTGTTATGGTGATGATTGACACCAACAATAGGCATAATTGGTCGACCATACAAATTATCTTTGTACGTTGTGTCGAACGCAATTACATCACCGAAGCATGTGTAATCCGATCTCGATGTAGAATCCGACCAATAAGATTATACAATGCCCCCGATTCGTCTACCGAGTATGTCATAAAAAACCCGGGATCATCATGTTTCTTATAATCAAAGTAGGCAATAAGCGCATTCACATCCCCATCGACGATTTCCTTTGCTTTACCTCTTTGAAGTGCATTGTAGAGGTCTTTATGTGTAAATCCAACATTATGATAGCCCCCTGTCTGCTGCGTTAAATAGTTCATTACTTGTGACGTGCCAACACGACCTCTTTCAATGTTGTTGCCTCATCGATATCAGCCTTACTTACAGCTCGATTAGAACGCATAAATGGTGTCATAGCAGATGTGCACAATGCATGATTATGTTTCTGATCAGACTTACTTATAACCCACTGATCGTTTGTATTTGTTGCTGTAACTACGACTCTAGCCTTACATCCTGTTCTTGTGACTGGCGTATGAGCACGTTGACGATCAACAGTATTGACTTTTGATACTCGAAACCCTTCTTTGGAACAACAAAATTCTTGTGTCTTCACATTCCTTCCACGTCAAGCCGTGTTGTTCCTTACGTGCACTAAACCCATGTTTCCGTGCGAATCCCTTGTAAAAGTGCCAAGCTTGATCACGTGAACAGAAGAGCTGACCAACCAATCTGTCAGATTCATCAACATTATGTACTTCATGGCATTCCTCGGTTGGCTTAACATTGTCTACATCAGTATTATCCATGGCAAAAATTTTGTTGTGCAAGTTCAGTGCTCCAGGAGTTGATGGATATGTAAACGAAGGTTCATTTTGAACATGTTTCTGTAGTTAAAGGGTGGGTACAACATTAAATTCGCAGTACATATTTAGGTATGTACAATAACTACAAGTATATTATCATTTTAAATTCGCAGTACACTGTTAAAAAATTGAAACATAAATTACATAAGTTTAAAAAAAGTATCGATCCTTTTATAAAAAGTATGGACACTTTCAATATAATAGGTAAACATATGATGTAATAGGTAGCCCTTATATAATGTAATAGGTATCGTTTATATAATGTAATAGGTAATGGTTATATTGTAAAGTGTCTATCCTTTTATAAAAGTGTCCATACTTTTTTCACTGTGGAAAACATTAATTTAAGGTTATCTTTGAGTGAGTTTTAAGATATTAATTTAGTAATTATAGGCGTCTAATGATTTATTTTTTACGTTACGGTATATATTATTATTAAATTAAAAATTCTAAATAATATTTTATAAAATATCAAAACAATCAAATAATTTTTTGTGCAAATGAAATTATTAAATCAATATTGTAGGTGGAAAACATGAAACACTGTTAAAAAAATTGAAACATAAATTACATAAGTTTTAAAAAAAGTATCGATCCTTTTTATAAAAAGTATGGACACTTTCAATATAATAGGTAAACATATGATGTAATAGGTAGCCCTTATATAATGTAATAGGTATCGTTTATATAATGTAATAGGTAATGGTATATTGTAAAGTGTCTATCCTTTTTATAAAAGTGTCCATACTTTTTCACTGTGGAAAACATTAATTTAAGGTTATCTTTTGAGTGAGTTTTAAGATATTAATTTAGTAATTATAGGCGTCTAATGATTTATTTTTTACGTTACGGTATATATTATTATTAAATTAAAAATTCTAAATAATATTTTATAAAATATCAAAACAATCAAATAATTTTTTGTGCAAATGAAATTATTAAATCAATATTGTAGGTGGAAAACATGAAACACTGTTAAAAAAATTGAAACATAAATTACATAAGTTTTAAAAAAAGTATCGATCCTTTTTATAAAAAGTATGGACACTTTCAATATAATAGGTAAACATATGATGTAATAGGTAGCCCTTATATAATGTAATAGGTATCGTTTATATAATGTAATAGGTAATGGTTATATTGTAAAGTGTCTATCCTTTTTATAAAAGTGTCCATACTTTTTCACTGTGGAAAACATTAATTTAAGGTTATCTTTTGAGTGAGTTTTAAGATATTAATTTAGTAATTATAGGCGTCTAATGATTTATTTTTTACGTTACGGTATATATTATTAAATTAAAAATTCTAAATAATATTTTATAAAATATCAAAACAATCAAATAATTTTTTGTGCAAATGAAATTATTAAATCAATATTGTAGGTGGAAAACATGAAACACTGTTAAAGTATCGATCCTTTTTATAAAAAGTATGGACACTTTCAATATATATAATGTAATAGGTAAATTTGCAATGCTATCGGTATAAATATACTGGTTTACTTATAAATAGGTAAATATAAGCGCTACCTATTACATTATAAGCGCTACCTAGTATGTTATTGTACTTTATAATATTTCCGGTTAAATAATATAACATAACCGGTCTAAATTTTAACCGGTCACTTGTTTAACCGGTCACGCCGTATATTAGCCGTTTTTTAGGCGCCGCACCGCAGAACGACCCCAAAAAATAAGAGTCACTCTCTCCATATATTTTACTTTTTAAAATTTAACTCTATCCCGCTTTAATCTACCTTTTTATTTTACAAAATATTTAATAATAAAAAATTAAAAACTCCGTTCAAGTTTTTAGTCAAGGATATTCAATCCTCTTTTTTCCAAAAATTTATTTTCTCTATGAACCTTAACCCACAATAAGAAAAATCGATATCAAATTTTTAATATTTCTCAAGAAGAAAGATCGAATCAAATCGCATTCTAGCATCAAGGAGAAGTTAATTAATTTACTTATTGTTTTCTTTTAGTTTTTAATGTTTCAATATTTTAAGATTATTATTTGATATTGATAATGAATTTGTGTTTTTAATGTTTGGAAATATTGAAGATATTATGTTGATTTAAAATTTCGAGATAATTGTTGTTATTGTCCGAGATATGTTAATAAGTTCATTGTTTTTGTTCATTGTCTAAAATAATTTCATTTATTTTTAATAGCATCGACAAGGAAAAAATAATTCAATGATTTTAAAAACACGAGAAAACATCTTGGACAATTGTAAGAAAAAGGTACGAGTTATTGAATTTTATTTGATGTTTCTTTTCTTTTAGTTATTTTTAATAGTGTTATGGTCCTTTAGTTATATTTTACATCAATTTATCGAGTTTTAGTATTATACGTTGATTTATATGACTTTATCCAGATGCCGTTTAAAATTATGACATCACAATTTAAAAATTCATTAAAGAGACAATATGCAAGTGGTCCAGGGCCCCTAAACCATTTAAAGTTGGGCTAAAGTCTGACCCAATAACAAGTTTAATGGAATTATTCTTGTCACAAGGTTCGGTTCTACCCTCTGTTACGTGCCATCAAATTGCAAAATAAACAAACAGTAACATGTTTATTTATTAATTATTAAATGATTTAACAAAATAAAATATTATTTTTCTATATAAATGTGAGTAAAATAAATTAAATGTTTTAATTTTTTTTGCGTGTATGTATATGTGTTTCGAAGCTACCTTATAATTCTTTCGTACATTATATAATTTTTTTTATTAATCTATTTTATTCTTTCAAAATTTTATAAATTTATTTTGTAACAAAAAAGTTTATGTTACATATATTTCCAAAAGCCCTTTCCTTTCAGCTCCAACACAGTAAAAAAAGAAAGGGAAAAAAAAAAGCAAAGTCTTGAATCCTTGATGCATTGGCAGCCAAGGATTGAAGTATGAGAAAATTCTGGACTCATTGGAAAAGAAATCCCATTTCGGAAACAAGACCCTGAAAGGAAGAAACTTTTGTTTTAAATCTTGATGGGTTACTTTTCCTGCAAAGCAGAATCAGCAGTGTCCATAATCTCCACCGCCACCACCCATAATTCATCTTCCAAAGCTGTTTACGACAAGAAGGAAAAGCCCCTCAAGATCCAACAGTTCGATTACTCCGACCTCGAAGCAGCCACCAATGGGTTCTCCGACCAAAGGCTTCTGGGCAAAGGCAGCCACGGCTCCGTCTACAAGGCTGTTCTCAAGGGACGCCACGTCGCCATCAAGAAACCATCTTCCAGGTACCAAGAAACCAACCCCGAAACCGATAACGAGATCGAAATCCTGTCCAATATTCGAAGCCCCGGGCTGGTGAATCTTCTTGGCTTTAGCAATGGCGCTAATGATCGTTTATTGGTTGTTGAGTTCATGAGTAATGGCGCCTTATATGATGTTCTTCACTCCAACTCTTCTTCCAGGCCTTTGAATTGGGGTCGAAGAATTCGATTAGCTTTACAAGTTGCAAAAGCCTTAGAGTCACTTCACTCACAAAACCCCTCAATTATCCATAGAGATGTTAAGTCTGCCAATGTGTTAATCGATAGGAATTTCAATGCAAGATTGGGTGATTTTGGATTGGCACTTAGGTGTGGTGTTGATGATTATAGGCTTAGATCCACCCCTCCAGCTGGAACCATGGGATATCTTGATCCATGTTATGTGACCCCAGATAATCTGAGTACAAAAACTGATGTTTTTAGCTTTGGGATCCTGCTGTTAGAGATTATTAGTGGTAGAAAAGCTATTGATGTTGCGCATTCGCCACCTTCCATTGTGGATTGGGCAATTCCTCTTATAAAGAAAGGGAAGATTGTTCCGGTTTATGATCCAAGGATCGCGCCTCCGGCGGATCCTATTGTTAGAAAGCAGTTGGCTGTCATTGCAGCTAAATGTGTGAGGTCTTGTAGGGAGCGCCGGCCGGCAATGAAAGAGGTGGTTGGTTGGTTAGCTGGGTTGAGCAAATTGGTTCCTTTACACCTATGGAATGGTTTTAACAATCCATGTATGATGGTGGAAACAATGGGGCGACCTATTGAGTGTAGAAATTCTGAGGATGTTGAGGACGGAAAACTTGGCAGGCAAACCGAGAGGGACTCGCAGAGAGTCTATTCTGATTTGGGATTTAGTAGCAACTTGATGGAACTAATAGGCATGAGCATGAATGGTGTTGAGGGGGATTGTGACTCTAACATAGTCGAGAGGCCTAGGTCAGGGAGCAGAGTTTCGGGCCAAAGATTTCGTAGCAAACGATATGGTGAAGAGAATGGTGGTTTTGGTTTGAGGAGGAATCAATCAGCTGGAGAAACTTCTCAACTATTTTCAGGGAAAGGTGACGCAGTTTCTCGTTTCTAGGCTTGTAGGTGACATTCGGTTAGTGTCATAAACATTGAAATGGTTGGCAATGGATCAAGTTGAGGCTTCCAAGTTTCACTTGCTTCATGTGTATTTTTCACATGCTCTTTGAATTGTTAACGTGGTGTTTCATTTTTACATATGTAGATCAGGACATGGCTAATGTCCATTTCATATACATATGATGAAAATGCCATTGAAGTGATTTGAACCTGCTTTCACAATAAACTGAATAATGCATTTCATTTCAATGGAATTCATCTTCAAGCCTTCCATTATATTCACATGAAGGCTCCAAAGCATACATTAGAGAGATTACTTTTTCTCTTCTGGAAATCCATAGATATTATTGTGGGTGCAGAGGGGTATTAGGTCAGGCTTTGCTGTCCCAGAAAAGGACTGAACAAAAGCAATAATCAAGTTCAATCGATTCTGTTAGATATGGTAAGGGGACAACACAAGACCCTTTCTTTATTATTCCTCAAGATTTCATTTTTTGTTTATAAAAAAAGACAAGAATGCAAAAGGTTAACAGAATTCAAAATGTGTTTTTTTTTGCAACAAGTATCAAGGTTTTACAGTTCAGCCTCTTGCAGTTTCATGTGCTTTTTTCTCGTTTCCATATGCTTATTAGTATTGGATCCGTCAAGTATTATATGTATTTATGTATGTATGTGTGAATGTGCCCACTGCCATTGCCAACCCCTACTAGTCAACGATGGAACTTTCTTTGGTTTTATTGGGGCAAATGCTATAGCAAGATACTAAAAAACAAGGAGAAGAAGAAACTGGCCATGGAAAATGATGAAAATTTGAGATTTTAAAAGAGGAAACCAAACCAGGATGGGTTGTGTTTGATTACTGGATCCAAGTAGTTTTTGTCTTCTTTAATCGATAAAGTTAAGACCCTTAATAATGCTTAAAGGTTTCTTTGTTTGTTGGAAATGTGTTGAAGAAGGAAGAGAACGAGAGTACTGTCTAGCATCTATTTATTATTTGTGCTTGACTAGTTTGCTCCTTTTACTTCAATTTCTGCTTGCTTACGTAGTTAATTTTGATTATTAATATCTTGAGCTTCAAGTTGAAGGGTCTGAGCATTGCAGTTCTTAACGCCCACTTGGAAGTTGGAATCTAACCAACCAACCAACAAATAATTTCTTATTGGATTTTACTTTGATTTAAGAGATAAAATGGCTGACTAATTATAATTTAAGTAGACACTTAAAATTTCAAAACGTAAATAACTATCTAAGATACTAAATAATAATAATAATAAAGAAAAGTTTGTTATTCTATAACTTCATGTTTTTAATAATAACAATTATATAAAAAACACATACATGGGTTGTACGACTAACAGCCGTCACAACCCAAACAATGGTACCATGTCAGATCCAATTCTCCCGAACCACAAATGACCACTTAATGTTTCTTTTCACTATTAAAACAAGAATGCGTAATGAAAAAACAATCAACTTAATGTCCTATCAACCTGCTTTCAGAAGGTATCGAGTGAGAGTACTAATATCAGTGAAGTAACCATGCAGTTAAAAATATTCTCTGCACCAGCAGCAATCAAAGAGATGCCCCCATTCCTGTGACCACCATCAGTGCCCCCTGCCCCTAGTATGTTGAGAGAAAAAAACATTAAAACCAGACTGGGGGTGGTCCCATAATTCCATATTTCTGCCCTACTCGTACATCCATCTTATCTTACATTCTGCCTTGTCTTAATCACCCGCTTCAGAGTTGCAAGCCAAAAGTTGCACTGGTCCCACTCGCTAGTGGTAAGAACAACCTGTTCCAGGAACTAGATGTTGAAAATATTTCTCTTTTTTTCTTTTTAAAAAAATACTTTCAGTAGCCAACGACAGCATATACGACATTCTTTCCCCTCCATACCTGGATTTGCAGAGCTGTACCGAAATTATTGTCCAAAGCCTGGCAGAGCTGAATTAGCTTATCAGAAGCATTTTTCTCGAAATAAAAAATAACCTCAGCGATCGAAAATGGCTTATAATATATAATTTTAATTAACTTGTTTTGGATTTGTCAAAATGACCAACAAATTCGCAACGCGAACTATAATTTCGCAATCCACTTTCCAATTTCGCAATGCGAATTTGTAAATCGCAACGCGAATTTGTAAATCGCAACATATAAGTCAAATTCGCAACACAGAAGTCAAATTCGCAACACAAAAGTCAAATTCGCAACGCGTGCTGAAAGTTTGCATAAACAATTGGTAAGTTTGAGCAAGTGTTGTTAACATATATACTTTTTGTTGGTTTGAAAAAGTTTGGTTAAGTACCTAGAATTCAATAATTTGATGTTTGTTGGTTTTAGATGTGTAGAAAGTGTTGGTTTTAGATGTGTAGAAAGTGTTGTTTGAGCAAATGTTTGGTTTTTGCAGGTTATTCCTGATGTGAGCTACGTGAAATTGATGTATTTGTGCATAAACAACAGTCTGAGGTTCACTTTTTTTGCTTGTTTAATTGAATTTTACATTGAAAGTTGATTTGTTTAATTGATGAGGAAATAAGAATTATTTTTTGCTTGTTTAATTGATTTGTAAAAGTTGATTTGTTGTTTTTGATGTGTAAATAAGAATTATTTTTTTGCTTGTTTAATTGATTTGTAAAAGTTGATTTGTTGTTTTAAATTCAATCTGCATTATGTTGAAGGCAAAAAAGACATGTTGAAGGTAAATTCGCAACGCGAAAGGTAAATTCGCAACGCGAAATAAGCGTTGCGATAGTCAAATTCGCGTTGCGATTTTCGGTTTGCGATTTCGCGTTGAGAATTTGACTATCGCAACACTTATTTCGCGATGCAAATTTGACTTTCGCGTTGCGAATTTGACTTTCGCGTTGATCACAACATACAACATCAAGTTATATACAACATCAAACACATTCCAAGCTATAAATACAAGCTAAGGACACTTGAAGAAGCAAGAGAACAACTATCCAAGCAATCAAACACAAGAGAAAATGCCAACATGATAACAACTGAACAGATCATAGCAATGTTTAAACTCAAGTTACTAATGAATGTCTAACTTAGAGAAGAACATACCTTTATTAAGTTGATAGTTGATAATTTAGGAGAGAAATCATTGAAAAATTATATAGAAATAAAATTATGTAAATAAAAATGCCTTCCGAATATTATCCATTTCATCTAGCTCATGAAGATAGGATAATCGTTAACCGAAACAGTCTGAGAGAAACATACCTGATGTAGAAGCAGCTGCATATTTTAAATCTCGAAGGCGATCTATTTGGTTCTCAAACATTTAAAGCATCGGAAGCATTTCAGACTTATTATTTTTTTGTTACTATTACAAGTTGTAGCCCTCAATTATTGGGATTTTTAGTTGTCATTTGTTGCATTTCTCGTATACCACCCAGATCATACGCCAGAAACGCTTCTGACGCTTTAACTGTTTGAGAACCAAGTGCATCACCATTGAGATTTTAAATCTGCAGCTGCTTCTACATCAAGTATGTTTAGCTAAGACAGTTTTAGTTTAGGGTTAAACTACCTCAGTGAACTGACTGAAATGGATAATATCCGAAAGGCATTCTTCGGATATCCAATCTTCCTGTTTGTTAACTAAAAATTACGATGGTCGGGATTTCCCTCGCATTTAAAGTTGAAAAAAAAAACAATGGAAATTAGGAATAATCAATGATAACATGCATATTGGCTAAGTTAATCCATTGAGTAAGTTGTTGTTTGGATGGAACAAAGGCTTGGGCTAATATTTATAGTGGAACCGAAATTTATATTGAAATTCAAACTCAAATTGAAATTTAAATTCAAACTCCAATTACATCTGAAATGAATTTGAAGTGTAGTGTTAAATTGAAGATGAAAATTGCATAATTGATTCATACTATTCAAGTAACATGCTTTATGAACCATCAAGCTAAAAGACAATATTGATTGAGTTCAAAGCTGAGTTGTGAGTTGATGAGGTTGTCACACTTGTCACATGGTTGGAATAAAGTACTCACATGGAAGAGATAGATTGTTTTGTTATGCCATCTCATCTGAATGAAAATATATATACAATATAATCAAACCAAAATATACATACACAATAAATTTATACATAACAATGTTCAAATAATGTACTCATAAAAACGAAATTAATCCGATGAAAAAGGGTTATTTCTAACGAAGTCCGGAACATTATTTTCCAAATAATGTACCCATAACAATGTTCAAATAATGTACCCACAACAATTTTTAATTGATTTGTTGTTTAATTTTCAATCTGCATTATGTTGAAGGTAAAAAAGACCTGTTGAGGGTAAACTTTCGCAACACAAAAGTCAAATTTGCAACGCGAAAGTCAAATTCGCGTTGCGATTTCACATTGCGAATTTGACTTTCGCAACGCTTATTTCGCGTCGCGAATTTTACTTTCACATTGCGAATTTGACTTTCGCGTTGATCGCAACATACAACATCAAGTTATATACAACATCAAACATATTCCAAGCTAAGGACACTTGAAGAAGAAAGAGAACAACTATCCAAGCAATCAAATACAAGAGAAAATCCCAACATGATAACAACTGAACAGATCATAGCAATGTTCAAACTCAAGTTACTAATGAATGTCTAACTGAAAATGTATGCATTCACACATAAAATACACATAATATAACGTTTGCATTTAAAAATCACCTAAGTTAATAAGTCCCAAAAGGTGAAGCCGGTTGTGATTGGGATTTTGATTTTGATTTCCTTTTGCTTGACACCATATGAGCTTTGGATTTTGATGAGGATCTTTTTTTTGGTATATGAAAAGCTGATTGTGATGGCACTGGTGATCCACAGGTCAACCTTGTATGACCACTTTCCTTGCACCGACTACATGTCGATATCCTCTTCTCTTCACCCTTAGACGGTATACGATCGTGATTTTTTGGTCGGCCAGGTAGCATGCTGTCCATGACTGGTGGCAAAATTGTTTGTAAGTCATCTGGTATGTCCCACTCAGAAGGATGTGGACATGGGTAGACAATCTCGGTATAAGTTTGTCGATATACTTCTATAGTGTAGCAATTCATAGCGTATGCGCTTGAATCATCTTGGTTTAGATGAAGAGCAACTTTTATAACATGGCCACATGGATAACCAGATTTTTGCCATT